CATCAAACTTCATCAACTAAAATAGTATTTGCCTTGTATACTGATATATTTTAGCTTACATCAACACCAAAATATTCAATAATTTATCATGTCATGTATGTTTTTCACAATCTGAGATAATGGAATGGTCTAATGGCTGGTGTGTTAGCTCTTTATGTTACGGACCGCCCCCGTGGTGTAGTGGTTAGAGCGTCCCCCCGGAGAGCGGAAGGACGCGGATTCGATCCCCGACCGCGTCATACCAAAAGACGTTAAAATATGGTACTTTTTGGTCCCTGCCTGATGCTCGGCATTAATGGGTACAACAAGGACTGGTCGGCTCGGAGTCAGTATAATGTGTCTGAGTGGGGTATTCATGCTTCACTGCGGCATGGTATCTCAGTGGGCTAGCACTATAAAACCAGCTTAAGTCTGGGCTAGTACAAGCAGCTGCAAATACACACATGCACGCCGGATATGAGCGAAATATTCTCAAGTACGACGTTAAACCCAATTTCACCTCACCTTTATGTTACGATGTATCAATGTCTTTCATTACTTGATCCTTCTGTCTGTTTTATGTCCTATAGGAGTTCACAGGTCAGAACAGGTTCCCAGCAATAGTGTTTGGTATAATTAATCTGGGTCCCCATCCACAAAGTGTTCGTAATGTTATGATATGTCGTAACTCTATCGTTTACTATAGGCTTACGATATGTCGTAACTCTATCGTTTACTATAGGCTCACGAATGTCGTAGCCCTACAAACTTTTTGTGGATCGGGACCTAGGCACTCAGTCTCAGACTGAGCATGGAGCATATCACATAGGAGGAAGGTGTGGTTTGGTGCTCATAATATCTATCATTGGTTTGTCTGATACAGATTTTATCAATAATTACTCATCATCATATGGTTTGAACTTTGCTGATGTGGAATTAACCAAGAACCACACAAACCTAATGCTGTGATTTGTTTATTAACCATTGATTTTTCATTCATACAACAAGATTTCACAGGGGCATTTGATTAGGCTAGTGGTGATAGTACTGGCACATCAAGCTAAAGGCCCGAGTTCTATTTTCAGGATGGGTACAGCATGTGTTTGCCATCTGTGGTGCTCCCCAACAGTTGTTAAAATATGTTAAAGATACTCACATCTTCCTTTTTCTGCTTTAATCTCTTATTCTGGGCAGTGGGTGGCCAAGTGGTTGAAGCATTTTCACATCACACCAAAGACCCAGGTTTAAATCACCACATAGGTACAATTTGTGAAGCCCATTTCTGGTGTTCCAGTCTTTGATATTACTAAAATATTGCTAAAAGTGGCATAAAACCATAATTACTCACTGATCATATTTCATTCTAGACAGCCATTGCTATTTTGTATTTTTCGAAAGACAGGGCACATTTTTCAACAGATACTTTCTTGCACACTGTCCCATGTATGAAGCACGTCAGTTGCAGCCTGGCCCAGCCAGATGATGATTATGACACTAGCTGATCTGTTTTCACCAAACAGGCATGGCCACATTCCTTTCCAACAACCTACAACCAACATCAGCATTTTCCTTTCAAGCAGACGCCAAAGTCAGTCCAGCCCTTTATCTCAGTGTGCTAAGTAGTGGAGGTGATATTACTTCTCAGGCCATATTTTACAGTTTTATTGCTATTGTAAGTAAACTGGATAGTTTACTGAGGTCAGCGTGTAAATACCTCACCAACATGAATACAGGAATTTTTTAATAAGGTTCTGAATTAATCTTTGGCTCAACTCACTGAACATCAAGTCATTTATTTGGTGTCCGTATTTGAATTTTGACCATGACACTTATTATGACCTGTCCTCAGCTGTTTCCTTTAAAATTGTGAAGATAGTTTGTGTAGCAGCACTCCAGACTGGCTGTATATCTCTGTAATATTCACATAAAAAAATCAAAGAACATTTTGAAGTATGTTTTGGAATACATTGTTACTTCTTCATCGAGGGAATGAAGGAGTAAGAACGCATTCCAAAACATTGTGTTCCTCATACTGCAGAAGTTGACATCCATGAATTTTCCCCTTTAGGCCAGACCAATTTTATTTCTTGTTTTACGGATCCGCCTGTCATATATTTTCAAGAATAAGAAAAAAAAACCCATTTATTTTCCCCACTGAAAAAATAAAATCCTAATGTTTTTATTGGCCAGTAATGTAAACTTACAAGAAATTTGTTTTAGGTTGTTTTTGTCCCATATACACCTCATAAATTGCCAAAAGTAACATACTTTGAGTATTTAGAAGGAATATTACTTGGACTGGTGATTTTATATTTATTTTTTTTGTCCCTCCTGCCTTTAGGTTTTCTGAGGACCAAAATCCGTAAAACAAGAAATAAAATTGGTTTGGCCTTATGAGTAAATTTACTTCTGAATGCCATTCATCGACTACAAGAACTTTTGATTTGTATGTGCACCTGATTACATGATAATTTACCCAAACCCAACTGGTAAACAATTCTATACGTTAATATCAGGGTACAGTATTTTACATGATTCATGAATGTTTGCCCATCAAGTTGAAAGTATTCTATAATAGTTTACTCTACTACAGGGTCTATTACTCTGTAGTGCTACCTCTTGCATGAGTAATCAGAGTTAGATCAGTGTCAGGAGTTTAGATCTCATCACATGATTTCCTGTTTTGTAAGCATGTGTGATGAAAAAATGGCAACATGCTTCAGTTGAAATCTTCAGTGATGATAAAGATTAATATTTCACAAAAGAATAATTTTTTCTGCCTGTAAAGGGAGAAGTAAGTAAATGGCAACATGCTTAAGTTGAAATCTTCAGTGATGATAAAGATTAATGTTTCACAAAAGAATAATTTTTCTGCCTGTAAAGGGAGAAGTAAGTAAATGGCAACATGCTTAAGTTGAAATCTTCAGTGATGATAAAGATTAATGTTTCACAAAAGAATCATTTTTCTGCCTGTAAAGGGAGTAGTAAGTAAAGCTGTTCTATTTGCTAGATTCGTTACTGACAATATTCTGTAACATGTGCTATATTGAGGATCAAACTTTTTGAGTAAAGTACAGATTCAAGTACTTTTGTCAGGTTGAGTTCCATCCAGGATTTGAACCCTTACTCTCAGGCATGATTAGGTGTGAGTGGAGGAAACAAGGAAGGTCCGGGCTAGAATTGATCTTCAGTAACTCATGCTTGTTGTAGGGTAGACTAAGGCTTAGTCTCTGAAAATATATAGTTTTGATAGTAACAAACAAGCCCATTTATATTGAAAAGGAGCCCTAGGGAGACCAGAGATTCAGAACCTGAGGAAATCTAGACTTGCTTTATTTAGGGCTTTAGCACTGCAGAGATGGCTTGGCAGTAGGGAAATTAATGTGGTTCAGGGACTGTGAGACAGACTAGTTGTAGGGCAACTAACAGGATCAGGTGGTCAGGCTCGCTGACTTGGTTGACACATGTCATCATATCCCAACTGCATAGATTGATGTTCATGCTGTTGATCACTGGATTGTCTGGTCCAGACTTGATTATTTACAGACCACCACCATTTGCTGCAATATTGCTGAGTGCAGCGTTAGTCAACAAACCAACCAATCAATGTCATTGGCAGATCCAAGGGGGATGGGGGCGGTGGGGTATTTGAATGTTCTGGATTTCTCTCTCTCCTCCCCCTTTTTTTTGAAAATTCCTGGATCCGCCCATGAATGTAGTGAATGTTTATATACAAGTACAGTAATCAATGAAGAGACCTTGTTCTCAATATATCAATATAGGACTCATGGTTACTGACAGTGGTCAGGAGATAATTGATTCAGGCTATAAATGACGTAATATATACAATGGTAATTAGCAAGAAGTCGTACCATGAGTAGTCCAAGTGGTTGCACAAATGCTGCTTGTAAAAGACTTTATGATTATAAGGATTGGCAATTGAGATCAGCATCATATGAAGGCAAATACTTCATGAGACATGGATATCTTGTAATTGGCCTTTGGAATTAAGTGTTCAATCAGACTGATTATTCTGCATCATTTACATTATCTTATATCAGTGAGCATGGTGAGAGATAAGTCTCTTAAGTTTAATAGTGAATGTTACTTTAGTCTGTAACTTTGAGTTGAAAACGTCTTCTAAAGATGACTATTTTTAAACATTTTCTGAATTTCAGAATCAACTTCTGTCACGTGTTGACTATGAATAGAACAGTTTACATTGCCATGTAGGATCAGAATAGAGTGTTTTGAGAAAACTGAGGATGATTTGAAGGATGGTTACATAGCTACTGTTTCGGTAATGACGTGCGTTGTTGTTTGCTTAGGCTGTCTTACAGATCCTGAAACAAATATATCCAAGAAAGCCTATGCAAGTCTAGAATATGGCAAGTCTAGATTCCCACTGTTTTTGAACATGAAGAAAGTCCCTAGGCTCCCTCTCAGAATATTTCATGATTATAATTTCTGTAAAATATGTTCATTTATAGACTAGATGTTTTTGTACTGTTTGCTGTATGAAACAGTTATTTATACTGACATTTAGAGTTTGAAATAACATTAATTAAAAATACCCAGTTCAAATTAATACGAATAAAAAAATAGGGTTTCTCAATCAAATATCCAATCAGATTGCATAGAAGCATCCCAAACAAGATTACCAGGAGGGTTGGTTTCTCTGTTCATGGCACGGGGTGCAGTATTAGGATCTTAATGAATGAAAAATCAAATTGTATTGAGGCAAGAATGTAAACTTCCCTGAGCCCCATCAATTCCCGCTTTCCATATTAATGCAGGTTCATTCCGTTACTTGATGATCGCTGTTAATTTGACGTCATCTGAGCTGTGTCTATATGAGTACCTGTGAAATTTATTACCATGGCACCTGAAGAGTCCAACTGCTAAAACTGTGAAAACAGTCAGCAGCATCACTGAAGTGTGGATTATTTCTTAGTACACCTGAGAAGAAGTTTTCAGGAAGTTCCCTTCTCTGTGTGGTGAAAAACTGACGATCCTCGTTGATCATCTTCAAATCCCCATCACAGGCAATCATCATTCACCTAGCGTACATGGTCAGATACAGGTAGAAGTGAATATCTGTGGTTAATTACATGCAACAGCAACGAGGTGACGGTATAAACAGCCGAATGGTGAACCTGATTGCTCTCAGCCATGTCAATGTGGAGAGAGATCCGCAGGCCATTGCTTAGCTGAATACCACACAAAGCTGCAGGTAGACTTGTAGCCATTGTAGTGAAGCTTACAATACAGGACTTATAACAGGTGTGTGTGTGTGTCCGTCGAGGTGGAAGAGATTACCACCAAGCCGTCTGGTCAGTCAATGCTGAGGGACTGTCAAGTATTTGGAGCCAGGGTTGTGTCGTGGGTGTACAGAAGATCACTGTTATGAAACTGGTGTTCAGCCTATAGCTGTGTACAGCCGACCAGCCATGTGACTCGACAGACGGAGCAGCCCACGCTTACCACTACCCAGTTGTGTTTACATTTCATGATAGTGGGTATTACCTGAACAGATTTATCCTGAGCTATGTTGTAGCTGCAGAAATACACACTTGCTGATTTATATTGTCTTCCATGGAATAAATTCCCCATCTGCAGATTTGGCTGTACGATGGTACAGTGAGTTGTTCATCCCGGATTCATTTGTGAGTGAGTTTTTCTGTGTGGTGTTGTAATGGAGAGTCAAACTGTGACCCTCCCAAAGACCAAACCCTCAGCTTCCTCACATGCGGTGTCCAGGCATCACCTGTGTGTGATGGACACACGGACAGGGGATGCTACAGACGATGACCTCAGCGACTGGGATGCACCTGTTGAGGTTGATCTAGCTGCACCACCCACACCACGCACAAATGATCAGGTAGTTACTGTACTTATACACAACTTGTCTACAATGTCAGTTACAGTATTTATATACAACTTGTGTACAATGTCAGTTACAGTATTTATATACAACTTGTCTACAATGTCAGTTACAGTATTTATACACAACTTGTGTACAATGTCAGTTACAGTATTTATATACAACTTGTCTACAATGTCAGTTACAGTATTTATACACAACTTGTGTACAATGTCAGTTACAGTATTTATATACAACTTGTGTACAATGTCAGTTACAGTATTTATATACAACTTGTTTACAATGTCAGTTACAGTATTTATACACAACTTGTGTACAATGTCAGTTACTGTACTTATACACCACTTGTCTACAATGTCAGTTACTGTACTTATACACATCTTGTTGATAATGTCAGTTACGGTATTTATACACCACCTGTCTACAATGTCAGTTACAGTATTTATATACAACTTGTGTACAATGTCCGTTACAGTATTTATACACAACTTGTGTACAATGTCAGTTACAGTATTTATACACAACTTGTGTACAATGTCAGTTACAGTATTTATACACCACCTGTCTACAATGTCAGTTACAGTATTTATACACAACTTGTGTACAATGTCAGTTACAATATTTATACACAACTTGTGTACAATGTCAGTTACAGTATTTGTCTACAATGTCAGTTACAGTATTTATGCAATAGTATTTATAGTCTACTATGTGCTGTTGATAACAACTGTCAGTGTACCTTGTCATGACGTATTTGTCAAACTTGCCTCCAGCAGTCACTGAAAAGATAAACATTCCAAAGAAATACCTGTTGTCATAAATGTTTTGGTAATCAAATATTTCAGATACAGTGCAATATGCACATATGATTTCTGTGTCATACATATAAGATGTTGCCAAGATTTTATTACCGTTATGATTTATTACTAGGTAAAAGATAAGGAGAAATAAAGGGTGTATCCAATAATTCCTGTAATGGCCACAAAGTATCTTTTCCAGAGCCCTAATTATGGAATAATCAATTTCTAATTCTATGCTGTACATGTTGTTTTTCCACAGATTATGGAGGTTTGCTAAGCAGATCAATAGTATCTGAAATCTGTCTTAGGATATATTATATAACGGCCTTCACAAGTTCAGTGTATGACAGGTGCTGATAGCTACACACATCTTTACTCCGATGCTTGGACAGAGATTGTTCTGGAATGTCATAGGCACCATTATTCTTGTCATGGATCAGCTGGGAAATGTTGCATTTTTTATTTGAAGTTTTCACTGCGTTGAAGCTGTGATGAAGTTGAAGGAGCGTTGAGCAAAATGTCGTTAGTGTAAAGTTCAAGCTAATGTCATGAGGATAAAAAAGTAGTTAATATCATCTGTGTGTAAAACTCAAACTAATGTCATTAGTTTAAAGCACTAACGAGGCAGGTGTTAAATACCATTATAGAGCGTGGGGAAATCCTGCTGCAGTTTTGGAGCGTTGGGTACACCATCAACTCTAAATCGGCAGTGTTAAGAGATTTTGTGTTTGTGCCCCAGGGCACCTCAGGGCATGTCAAGGCACCACTCTGTACCTGACGGACTAGTGTTGTTGTTGATTGTGTACAATGAGTACGACCTGAATCTCCACAGCTATTGTTGATGTGGCATTGTTTTCCCCAGTTAACATCCCGTACCAGATCTTACATCTCGACTCATTTCCATTTAGTTTATGGACTTGCTTAACCCCAAAAGCTGTAAAACAGATTGATTGTGGGTTTAAGGAATTGTTGTTGGTAGCATTGTAGTTAGTGAGTTTAGTTCTACATCGATTTTAACAATATCACGGCACGGGGACACCAGAAATTGGCTTCACACAATGTACTCATGCAGGGAATCAAACCTGGGACTTCACCATAACAAGCAGATGCTTTAACCACTAGGCTACCTCACCGGCCACATTGTAGGTGGCCAAACAAAAATACATTCACAAGGGGCATGAAAGTCTGTCGTACAGACCCTGAGGCAAATATATCCAAGAAAGCCCACGCAAGTCTAGAAAATGTGGCAAGTCTAGATTTCCTCAGCTTCAGGAAATGAAGAAAGTCTCAGGGCTCCTTTTCATTAATTTTTTTTTCATTTCAGAGACTAGTTGTTAGTCTAGGGGCATGATTGTTGCTATTTTCCCACTTAAACATATGTCACATGAAGTTGTTGTAATTATCTGCCATCTCCATCACTTCAGACTCAGCAGTAAACACTTCAGTATGATTTGTTTTGTATTTTGCAATGAATCCTCTTCTGAACAAGAATCAGAGTGATATTTCATGTAAACATATAATTTTATTTCTAGTTTTATACCATTAGAGTCAGCAGTATTAAATATCACAAGAGTATTTGGAATCATTTTGCTTTTGTTTTTGTTGTCAGATTCATACTCAAACAAAATTTAAATTCCATCACTTAAGCTTTCATCTACCAATATGCTTGTATACCAGGAAGTAGTCTGGTCGAACCTTTGTCATCGGTGTGATGAGCGAAAAGTTGAACCACTAGGTGACCCGTAAAGACCATTGGATGTGAGTATTGTAGGTCAGCTTGACAAACAGCACGGGGGAGAACCACCTTCTTCAGATATTTTCATTGTCATTCCCCACTGTTGTCTGTTGAAACTGATTCTAATTCAGTTGCATAATGCCCGCAGGCAGTGTCCTGATCCTTGTCTAGGTGACGGACATCCCAGCAGGTGAAACACTGTCAAGTATGTACATCAGACAATAAGGGCGGTATTGATCTCAGCTGTGTTAATCAGCTGCTATGCTTAGAGATAAGAATTATCTCGGTGGTCTGGAGGTTGTGGAAGAGTTTGTTAAAATAATTGATTGCTTGTTGTAGAGTTCGTTGGTAAAGGATTGCGGATGCCTCTTGTATATGGATGTAGTCCTGATTGATCTGGTATGGTGGGGGGTGGTGAGATAGCTGGTCTGGTTGATGTAGTGGTCTGTCATACTTGTCTTGATGAAGTGGTGAGATTTAGCTGGATGGAGTGGTCTGTCAATGTGATCATCTAATGAGGTAGTGAAATTTAGCTGGATGGAGTGGTCTGTCATACTTGTCTTGATGAAGTGGTGAGATTTAGCTGGATGGAGTGGTCTGTCAATATGTTCATCTAATGAGGTGGTGAGATTTAGCTGGATGGAGTGGTCTGTCAATGTGTTCATCTAATGAGGTGGTGAGATTTAGCTGGATGGAGTGGTCTGTCAATGTGTTCATCTAATGAGGTGGTGAGATTTAGCTGGATGGAGTGGTCTGTCAATGTGTTCATCTAATGAGGTGGTGAGATTTAGCTGGATGGAGTGGTCTGTCAATGTGTTCATCTAATGAGGGTGAGATTTAGCTGGATGGAGTGGTCTGTCAATGTGTTCATCAAATGAGGGTGAGATTTAGCTGGATGGAGTGGTCTGTCAATGTGTTCATCAAATGAGGGTGAGATTTAGCTGGATGGAGTGGTCTGTCAATGTGTTCATCTAATGAGGAGGGTGAGATGAGCTGGTGAGATTTAGCTAGATGGAGTGTTCATCTAATGAGGGTGAGATTTAGCTGGATGGAGTGGTCTGTCAATGTGTTCATCTAATGAGGGTGAGATTTAGCTGGATGGAGTGGTGGGTGAGATTTAATGAGATGGAGTGGTCTGGAGTGGTCTGTCAATGTGTTCATCTAATGAGGGGTGAGATTTAGCTGGATGGAGTGGTCTGTCAATGTGTCTAATGATGAGATTTAGGTGAGATTTAGCTGGATGGAGTGGTCTGTCAATGTGTTCATCTGATTTAGCTGGATGGAGAGTCTGTGAGATTTAGCTGGATGGAGTGGTCTGCCAATGTGTTCATCTAATGAGGTGGTGAGATTTAGCTGGATGGAGTGGTCTATGAGATTTAGCTGGATGGAGTGGTCTGTGAGATTTAGCTGGATGGAGTGGTCTGTGAGATTTAGCTGGATGGAGTGGTCTGTGAGATTTAGCTGGATGGAGTGGTCTGTGAGATTTAGCTGGATGGAGTGGTATGTCAATGTTGTAGTCGTAGTTGTGTTGTGTTGTGTCAGACGTCAAGTGAAGATCTGGTTTAGAATTGGTCCTCAGTAATCCATGCTTGTCCTAAGAGGGCAACTCATGGGATCGGGTGGTCAGGCTCACTGCCTTGGGTGACATGTCATCGTATCCCAAGTGTGTAGATCAGTGCTCATGTTGTTGATCACTGGATTGTCTGGTCCAGATTCGATTATTACAGACCACTGCGATATAGTTGAAATATTGCTGAGTGTTGCATTTTAATAAACAACAAACAAAGTTTAGCTCTACAAATATATAATTCTTAAAAATTCTTGATGGATCCAAATAACTCCATTTAAATTGAAAAGGAGCCCCATTGAGATGAGATGTTCGGAACCTGATGTTAATCTAAATTTGCTTTATTTATCAATAGAACTTTGGCATTGCAGAAATTGCCAGACAGAGGGGCAGCACAATGGTGCAGGGATTGTAGACTGACTAGCCCCATTCAGTAATAATGTACACACACAAAAGAAACTGTTCAGTTGAGTTTGTTTGACAATACATTCAGAACACAATAACAGAATTCTGTTTATGAAATGTGTTTTGACAACAATGTTTAGTTGAACCCAGATTATGGTAATGTGGACAAAATACAAAACCAGATATCACTGTATGAATCTGACACCGGTTGTCTGTGGCCATACAATGCCCCAGAAAGGTTTGCTCAGGGGCTTAATCATTATGCTATAACTCAAATATTTGCCATCAAAAGGTGAGCAAATATTGAACGGCTGTTTGATACCTCACTGTATCCCATTGCAAATATATATTCCTTATATATTATAGTATTATCAACTTGAAAGTAAACTTTTAACCCGAAATAGTAGTATTAGATTTTCATGCATATATTGCAAAACATTAAGTAGACAAAATAATAAAATTCCACCTATCTGTTTATGTTTGCTCATAT